GGGTTTGTGGGAGAAAAATGAGCCGTTTGATCCACTGAATGACAAGTGTCATGGCTTGGGAGGCAGGGTCTAGAATTCCTAGCCCTCCTTTTGTCTTTGGTTGGATTACCGCATGCCAGGCTACCCTACTAATGACGTTCTTATGATCGTGGTTACCTCTCCATAGAAAAACTGTTATTTGTTTTTGCAAGGGTTTCAGAGCAGATTTGTCTAGAGGTCAAATCGCCGACCTATACCAAAGTGAAGCTAGGATCACATTGTTTATAACCAGCGATCGTCCAATGAGGGAGGTCTACTTATCCTTCCATAATTTCATTTTAGCTAGAGCCGATTTGAAGATTCATTCATTATTCATTGATGGTTTTCCTTCAGTAGACAAGGAAATGCCCGATACTCTGATGGGATGTGAGGGGGGCATTCAATTAATGTTTGGTTGTTCTGGAGGTCTTACACCTTGATGGTGTATCCACCATCCTTGTGTTTTGGTTCCCCAATTTATCTTCATATTTGACAGGGAGCAAAACTTGTCCATCAGCCTTTGGATTTCCATTAAGTTTTCTCGAGAGGCTTCCACCATTAGAGAAAGATCGTCTGCAAACAAGGAGCATATTTGGAGGGCTTCTTTAGGTATATAGTTAATATCAATGCGTTTGATATCCTTATTGCATCGTAGATTTGCTGCTAGGGCCTTCATGATGATGACGAACAGGAATGGGGCGATGGGGTCACCCTGTCTCACTGAGCGTTCTAATTCAATGGGGGAAGCCAAATTTTCATTCACCATTACACGAGTTATGACATTTGCATGTAGAATTTTTATCCATCTTCTGAAACTGGGACCAAAATTAAACTTTTTTAGACATTTGTCTAAGAAGTGTCAGTCTACATGGTCATAAGCTTTTTCAAAATCAATGAAGATGAAGGTTGCATTATGCTTTGGTTGTCTAGAGAGTTTGACTAGTTCATTTACCTGTAGGATGTTGTCTTGGATGTTTCTTCAATGAACCCTGTCTGTGTGGGGTGTATGATGTCCATCATGACTTTCATGAGTCGATTCGTAAGTGTTTTTGCCACCAATTTGTAGACTACTGTGAGTAGGATGATTGACCTATAGTTACATATGTTTGTTTTATCTCCTTTTTTGTATAATAAGGTCAACACCCCTTGGCCTACTATTTCTCCCATTTGGCCTGATACCTATACTGCTTGATAGTAGTCCATAAGATTCTGAGCTAGGTAGTCCCACATGAATTCCCAAAATTATTTTGGAAGGTCGTCAATCCTAGAGTTTTTTCCTCCTCCATCATTATGAGGGCTGTTCTGATTTCTTTCTTCGTTAGCGGTCTGTCAATCTTTTCTTTTTGATCGTCTGATATAGATTTTGTCAATGGTTTAAGAAAGTCTTCTATCTCTTTTATTCTTTGATCTTGGGGTTGGTGATTGCATTCTGATGTGAAGAGAGTTTTGTAGTAGTCTCTTGCTATTTTTGTACATGTTGTTGTAGATGTCTCTAGAGAGTATTGGTCTCCTTTGGGATCTGAGAGAACTTCAATAATAGATCGTCCAACTTTGATTTTTGCCATAGCAAAAAAATCTGGCATCCATCACCCCTTCTGTATTGTAGCCTTTCATCTTTCCTCTGATTCTGATCCCTTGCCAGCGATGTCTCATATAATTCAGGATTTTAGATTCTAGTTCATTTATTTTTTGAGTGATCTCGTTTTGATTGTTTCCTTGTACCATGTCTACTTCTTGTTGTTTCAGTTGTTTCAGCTGTTGTTGTAGATTTATTTCCTGTACGTGACACTGCTGGGCAAACAGTTTAGAATATTCATTGCTTTTACGGTCCAAAAACCTTCTGTTTTCTCCAGAATGACCATACATCTTGTAGATATACTTTAAACTGATTAATGTTGAAGAGCGAAGTGTTAAGTTTATAGAAACGTCGGCCTTGATCCGGCTTTTTCCTGAATGAGAGTAAGGCTACGTTCATAGCGTGATCAAGGTCAGGAAAAACACTCTATGGGAAGATTTTTGTTACTTGGAGCGCTCCTTCCAGCTCTTCTGACAAGAGGATTAAGTTTATTCGGGACTTCGAGGCTTTGGTAGTTTGAGACTTTCTGAAACAAGTATAGGTTCGTTTGGTAGGGTGAAGCCTTCTATATGCATCAAAAAGATTCATTGATTGACAAAGGCTTTTAATGATTTGTTCGTCAGTTTGTATATATACTGGGCAAGGAGAGGGAATGTGCCAACGATCCAGTTGCCTATTTGGGGCAGCATTGAAATCCCCAGCCATAATGATCGGTATACCAACCGGAAGGTGGTTTTTTATTGAGTCAAAAAATCGTCGTCTCTCCCCTGTTTCATTTGGCGCATATACACACAGGATAGTGACTACCTCTATTTCCAACATAGCCAAAAGATAAACCCATCTGCCTTCCTCTTTGTCTGCCCCCCAATTTAGCGGTTCAATCTTCGAATCGGGAGGTACCCAGATTGCCACTCCTGCACTTCCTGGTCTAGGAGCGTGGGCTCTGAAGGCTTGGTGGGACCAAATTTGTTTGTGTGTATGGTTGTGATCCGCATTATCCATCAGGAGTGTTGCTTGTATACAAACTGCATCCGGCCATTCTCTTCCTTCCACCCCCCTCAATTGTTCGTGTATGGCCTGACGTTTTCCATGGCTGAGATTCTCTCCTGATCTCAGCAACCCTTACTGCAACCCTCAGTCCAAACACCCATACATATAACAGCCAACACATGCAGAATTTGCAGAATTTATGAACCCGGGAGGATCCCCACTGGTGCCCCCCAGTGACCCCTCCCAGGCAGACAATGGGACGCTGGACCCAGTTTCCAGCTAGCAGTTTGGCTCATCACGGCACAGAAGAAGAGAGGAACTAGGAAATAGTGATGTAACTGGCACCCGAGCAGGGTGAAGAGGTTCCCCCCCTCTTTCCCCCCCCCCCC